GCTGGTGAGCCTCCCACCGGGGCAGGGCTCTGTGCCCCTGCAGACCCTGCCCCAAGGTAAGGAGCCTGCAGTGGGGAGCGTGTTGGGGGGCCCCACGACTGCAGCTTCTCCGTGCTGCGGGTGAGGGAGGGCTGGGGACAGGCCTGGGTCGCTGCTTTTCCCATCTGAAGTTTGGGGGCTGATTGTATTAATGCTGGAGTAGCTCGGGAGAGTTTGAGCTGGGTCATGGGCATGGTTGGGCCCCAGCTTCCTCTTGCATTCGGGTGTGGGAACTGGGGTCTCCTCCCCTCCGGGGATGCTCAGCTGGACTCTGGGTGCTGTGGGTGGCTTGTTTTGGGCATCAGGATGGGGCCGTGTGTGCTCGGCCTTGGGTGATAGTCTCCTGGTGTATGGCCTCTGCTGGGCTGGCCATGTTGGGGGGCAGCCAGGGGGTCCCAAGCCAGCCCAGTGCCTGGGTGCCAGGGGGGGCTGCTGCTCCTCCCTGCTGACAGCGAGTGCTTTCTCCCCATGCCCTAGCTGTATGCCCCTCGGACCTCCAGCAGCTCTGGAAGGAGGTCACGGCTGCCCAGCCCGTTGAGGACAGAATCAAGCAAGAAGGGCTCGACCTCACCACCACCACCTCCAACTCTACCTCGTTTTCGGCCGCCAAGGTCTCGCCTCCCATTTCCCATCACCCTCTCCCTGCTGACAGCGAGTGCTTTCTCCCCATGCCATAGCTGTATGCCCCTCGGACCTCCAGCAGCTCTGGAAGGAGGTCACGGCTGCCCAGCCCGTTGAGGACAGAATCAAGCAAGAAGGGCTCGACCTCACCACCACCACCTCCAACTCTACCTCGTTTTCGGCCGCCAAGGTCTCGCCTCCCATTTCCCATCACCCTCTGCCCAATGGACAGAGCACCATGCACACGCCGAGAAGGGACAGGTAGAGCCGGGTCTGGCACTTTGTGTTTTTACCCCAGGGGAGGTGGAAAGGGCTGGGATCCATCACCCTTGGGGCTGGCAACAGGGTTGGGAGGGTTCTGCCCACCTCATTAATGTTTTCCTGCACCCATGTGCCCACAGAGGACAGGGAGACATCACTGTGGGGTCTCCTGAGGGCTGGCCTCATGCCTGGGAACACTGGAGCATCATGGCTGCTCCATCTGATGGTCCCTTTCCCTCTTCTGCAGCTCTTCCCATGAAGAGACCCCCGGCTCCCACCCGCTCTACGGCCACGGAGAGTGCAAGTGGCCTGGCTGCGAAACCCTCTGTGAGGACTTGGGACAGTTTGTCAAGTAAGTGCTCCACAGTTTGAGGGACATCTTCCCAGAGGAAGGGAGAGCCCCACTCTCAGGCTGGGACAGCATGGGGCTGGCAGACGGGGAAACCCTGGACACGGGTCTAGACACCCTAAAGTCTGTCCATTGCTGGAGAGGCCCATGCAACAGGAAGGAAGCATACCAGGGATTGCTGCTAGAGAAGAACTCCAGTGCAGCGGACGGGAGCAGGCAGGCGAGGGGAGTCTGCAGCTCCCTCCTGGGGGGCAAGAGGAGGGAGGAAGCAGAAGCCGCTGACACCGCTCGTGGGCTCCGGCGCTGACTGATTAACTCCGCTGTCGAGGAGCCCTCTGCTAGCGTCAGGGTCAAACAAATTGTTTTCACGCTTCGTCAGAGGTTTACTTAATTAGTTCATTTGCAATTAGATCTCTTTGTAGCTGGGATTTTTAGCAAAGACATCAGAAGGAACTGACGGGCTTGCTTGCTCCTTCCCCCCCCCGCCTCTCTGGCTGGCTGCTCAGTGGCCAAGACGCACCAGTGTGTGCTTCGCTCTGCATCGGTGAGGTTTTAGGTTGTTACAGACTGATCCCATCTGCTGCCACACACTCAGGGCTGGCTCTCATGGGGCCATCCCCTGGCCTCCTCCTTTTCAGGGAAGGAGCTGGGTAGAGGCTTTGCACAGGGGGATGAGGAGGACTGAAAGCAGACGGGGGGAGCGTTGCTTGGTGGCGATGGAGTGAATGAGTCAGGCTCCTGTGTCTTCCTTCCTTCCTCTGACTCATGGGGTGAACCTAGATAAGGCATCTCCTCCTGCCTCTCCAAACATGTTTACATGGCACAGGGCAGATGAGCAAGCTCTGGTTTGGAAGCTGGGGTTGGCAGAGGATGGCCAGGGCTGGATGGTGGTGCCAGGAGAGCCTTGCTGTGAGTCCTGTGTCCCACTGACTGCCCCCTAAGCACACCAAGAGGAAGCTTCCTGAGGGGCAGCATCCCTGACAGCACTAGTGCAGTGTGTCTGTGCAATGTGAGTGCATGCTGGGGTGTGGGACAGACAGATGGAAATCTTCCAGCTCCCAAAGGTTGAGCCCAGCTGCAGTGTGGACCTTGCTTTGAGTCCGGACACAGGCTTTGAGCCTGCTCTGAGCATCACCTCCATGGAGAAGCTTGGAAACCTCAGTATTGGGGTAGAAAAGGGCAGCACATCCTTTGAGCAGTGATGACAGTCAGTGGGACACGTCTCCTCTCTTCTTGCTCAACACATCTTAGGCTCTCAATAGGTTCTTCCCTGGAGAAGCAGCCATGCCCTCAGTCTGCCTAAGGAGCAGTGCGGGGCTGACACTGCTGGGTTTTGCTCACACACAATCCCAGTTACCTGACTTGTTTTTGCAAGTCGGGGCTGGAAGTCTCTCACAAACAGCCAGGTGAGACTCTTGTGTCTACTGCATCTGTATCCTCCTGAGGCACCTTCTCCTGGGATGCCTCAGCAGAAATAGCTCAGCCTCGGTGCTGGAGAGCATTGGCCCTGGGACACCTCTGTGTTTCCCAGCATTGGGTGCCACCTTTCAGGGTGTTCCCAGGTACAGTTTGCCCTTGCACTCAGCATCCCCGCTCTGACCTGTCCCGCTCCTCTCAGTGAGGACCTTCTGGGTTAGAGCCCACCCCGGAAAGGACATGACCCAGCTGTGTGATGTCTTCAGGACTGGATGCATTCCCAGGCTGCCAATTTGCTGGGTCTGGGGGATGAGGACCCCCACAAGGTGGATGTCCCTGTAGCAAGCAGCGTCCCTGTCACCTCTCCCAGGAGCCCTTCCTCCCCCTAAGAAGGAGGGAGGGTGGCGAGGACCAAAGGTCCTTGTGCTTTATGAACATAAAGTGCCTTATAAACGTAAGGCACAAAAGCACCCTGGAAATGTCACCTTCTGCCTTCAGGGCTTTCCTTAGAGGGTGTAAGTAAACCTCCATAATGCTGCCTTTGTCCTGGGAACCTGCTCCTCAGGTCCTCCTGGGTGCCTCCTGCCAGTCACCTTCTCAAGGACTTCCCATCAACCATGACTGCTCCTGAGCACCACGGGGCTTCCCCAGGGCTAGTTGTCCACAGCCACCCTCCAGCCCGGGTTTGGGGAGGAGGCACAGCCCATTTTGCTTGGCCGTTGTGCCTCAGTTTCCTTTCTGCTCTTCACACTTCAGGCAGCGCTGCCAGAGCATCCCGGGCAGCACCTTGTGGTGTCCCTGGCGTGGCTGCTACAGGGCAGGGCTGATCCCAAGTGCGGTCCCAGAAAAGGGGCTGCATGTTGGGCACATCCAGGCGTTGACACCTGTGTTCTCCTCCCCAGACACCTCAATACAGAACATGCACTTGACGACCGAAGCACGGCCCAGTGTCGAGTCCAGATGCAAGTGGTACAGCAGCTGGAAATACAGGTGGGTGCTGCCCAGCCTCTCAGGACACGGGTTTAAACAGCATCTCCTTTCCACACCGTGTCGTGGCTGCTCTCTGTGGGATGGGGTTAGTGAGGTTGGAGACAGTAGCAGGATAACCAACCATCCCAGGGCTCAATAAGGCATCCTTCCCAAATAGTGCTGGATCTGGGTCACATCCTGGTGGAGATCAAGACCTGGGGGACCCTCAAACTGGTTCCTTCTCTGATACCAGCCACCCTGCTTGGTTATTATGGGGCTGGAAGAAGGGACCAGTCATCCTTCCTGCCCAAAGTGTCCCAGGGGGTACAATGAGATGCCATTCCAGACACCTGGAAGACACATGCTGCTGGACGGTACATGCCCACAGGCAGGACATGACTGTGCCTCAGCCCTCGTGCTCAGTAAGAGCCACAGGACTGCGGGGCTCTTTGGAAATCAGGCCACTTATTTTGGTGGCTGAGCATAGTCTTTGGAGCCCAACTTCAGGGAGCTATTTATGGAAAGCTGGTTCTTTAAATAGCATCTCCAACTCCCTGACGTGTTGTGTGAATTTGGTTAATGGGGAAGGGGGGAAGTGGGAGGATATAGAGGGGTTTTGTCTTGGGACCTAAAAGCAGGACATGGCAGTGTCTCTGTCAGAGTATTGCTCACTGGGACCCCCATGGCATGACAGTGCCTGGGGGCCTGGATGTTTGGCCAGGGGCTGGCAGGAGCTCAAAGCGCTTCGTGCCCATCACTGTGTGTCACGGTGGGTGCCATGGTGGGGGATGCTGGCCCCAGGGAGCAACAGGCCGTGATGTGTGGCAGCCTTGGGAGCCTCTGCCTGGAATTACAATAACAGGGGCTGCAGAAGGGGACACGCAGCAAACCCCTCCCAGGCGGGGAGGCTGCAGAGCCGCCTGGGCGAAGCCGCGTGATCGCATCCTGCTCTCCAGCCCTCGCTAAAGCGAGAGGTTGAAAGCAATTACTGGGGCTTAAAGAGGGGAGGGAAAAGGGAGGCGGGGGGAGCTGAAGGGCGAGCAGAAAGCTGTGTGTGCACAGAGGAGAACCTGCCACCGGAGCTACCAATTATAAAGTTTTCAGCATGGAGCTCCCGCTGTGTCGGCAGAGAGCGTCTGCATCACGAGGGGAGACCTGTCAGCTCTAATGAGCACCACGACAGCACGAAAGCGTCTGAGCTGCTCCAAACTTGCAGCAAACTCTGCTCTGGCTCCTGCCTTTAACTCCTTCCTTGCCCGAGTCCCAGCTCCGAGAAGGGGGCTTGGCTGGGGGAGGTGGCAGCACGTGGGGATGCAGAGCCCGGAGCTTGAGGGGTCTCGGCGGAAAGGGAAGGTGACGGGAGGAGAGCGGGTGTCAGATCCCATCGCCTCCGCCGGGCTCAAAATCTCCCCTGGTGCCACAGTGAATATTTCACCCTTCTCCGCACTCCGGGGAGTAAACAGGAGGGAGCGCGCAATTAGAGCGATGCTGTGTGTCCGGGTGGATGGATGGAGGGATGGGTGGATGGACAGGGACCTGCTGGTGAGTGGGAGACAGCAGGGACCAGAGGAGGGCGAAGGGGACGGAGACACGGGGCACAGGGAGGAGAGGGCTGCGGTGGGACAGGGCTGTTACTGGAACTGTGGTTGCAGGTGTTTGCACACACGGAGCCAGAGCAGGGCCCCCTGTGCCCCCCACCATGGGTGCTGCGGCCCCCAAAGAGCCGTGGCCCCACTGGGGCTCTTGGGAGGGCTCAGCATGTGGCAGGAGGTGGCTCCTGCAGGGGTGATAGAGGATGCTGGGGGCTCGGTGGGCAGCTCCTGCAGGCCATGGGCACCTCTGCAGTGAGCACCAGCCCTGCCTGACCATCTCCCTTCTGCTGCTTGCTTCCTGCAGCTGGCAAAGGAGAGTGAGCGTCTCCAAGCAATGATGGCCCATCTTCACATGAGACCTTCAGAGCCAAAGCCTTTCAGCCAACCTGTAAGCCTGTGTCCCCCTCCTGGCCCTCTCCTCCCTCTTCCCTCACCGCTGGCTTGCTGTGCCCTCCCTGACCTGTGCATGGTCACCACATCCCTTTGTGGCCCTGATGGTCTTCCTGGGATGGGCATGCCCTGACCACACTCAGCACTCGTAGCCTGGTCCCTTGTGCAAGGCGTCAAGCAAGAGTGAAACACAGCCCATGTCAGCATGTTGTGTTGCTCAACCAGCTTGGAACATGTCGTGTTGGGGAGCCATCCCATCCCATGGGTGCATCTCGTCCCGCAGTTACATCCCATCCTATGGGTGCATCCTCTCCCATGGTTGCCTCCCATCCCTGCTGAGCCCAGCAGGTCTCCCCATGCAAGCCCTTCTGCCCCTGCCTTGCGGCACGAGCGGCTCAGCCCTGCCGCTGCCTTCCCCCCGCTGGTACCCAACCGCCATCCTCCCTCCCGCCTGTCCGTGCAGCTGAACCTGGTCTCCAGTGCCACCCTCTCCAAGAGCACTTCCGACACGTTCCCCGACGGCTTACCTCATCCCCCCACCTCCGCCACGGCGCCCATCACCCCGCTGCGGCAGTGGGTCCTTTCACCCCCTGCCCCCCTGTTTCTTGTCTCCCCTCTAGAACTTGCACAGAATCACGAGTTCTACAAGAACGCTGACGTCCGGCCACCCTTCACGTACGCCTCGCTCATCCGGCAGGTGAGTGGCTCCCGGGGCCAC